GGGGGTGGGGTCCCCAGAACCCAGCTACCAGTGCCAGGCGTGACCGCCTCTGCAGGCGTCTGTCTCCTCAGTTACTCCCAGCGACCAGCCCAGAGCACCGGAATGCCAAGCATGGCTGGGCTCCCGCCCGCCCCCCTCTCGGGAACATTCCAAGTGCTGGGTTTTTTCCTCTTGAAATATCAGGAGCCTGAGAGAGGCATCCGCCGCGGGGTCCCAGGGGCACCCTCCCCACCCCCGCTCGCCTGCCAGGCCGACAGGAGTGGGAAAACGCCGGCCCAACCACCCCCACCCCAGTTGGGCCCCTCAGCCTCCCTCTGAGCTCCCCTCTCTGATGGAGAAGTCAGAACAACAGAGGCACCTGGGTCAGCCTGGGAGGGAGGAGGGACCAGGGAGGGAGCATGGGGGTCAGCTGGAGGGAGGAGGGACCAGGCGGGGAGCATGGGATGGAAGACAGAAGAATCCCAGGAGGCTGGTGTGACACAGAGACCAGTCTGTGCCCTCTCCCCGCACCCACCCCACTGCACACACAGTAGAAACAGCCCCGTGAGGGAGAGCTGGGGGATGGTTCCACCATCAGGGGCTCTCCTGCTGAGAGCTGTGCTCCACTGGGCAGCGACCCCAGCCCCCACACAGCACCAGCTCGCTCTCTGCAGGGCCGTGGACCGGCCTAAAGGAAGGAGCAGACACAGAGGTGCCCCCGGGGCTCTCAGCTCTGCCCGCATGGCCGACAGCGTGGACAGCGTGGCTGGGGTCAGCTCACCGGCCTCAGGTATCTGAGCATCAGCGGCCGAGCGTCAGAGCCGGGAGAGCTGGGGGCACTTAGGCAACACGCACGCACGCACGCAGGCGGCCGCTGAACTGAGGAGTCGGGGAAGATGTGAGCCTACAGGTCCCAGCAAGTCCACCGACAGGTGACGGGGCGGCTGCAGGGACAGCTGTGCGGCCAGCGGTGCTCCTGTGGGTTCCCCACCACACGCAGCTCTCCCTCACGGCTGCTTCTACTGTGTGTGTTTTGTTTTTTTCTTTTTTGTTTTTTTTTTAATATATTTTTATTGATTTTAGAGAGGAGGGAAGAGGGAGAGAGAGTTAGAAACATCAATGATGAGAGAGAATCACTGATTGGCTGCCTCCTGCACACCCCCCACTGGGGATCGAGCCCGCAGCCCAGGCATGTGCTCTTGACCGGAATCGAACCTGGGACACTTCAGTCTGCAGGCCGACGCTCTATCCATCGAGCCAAACCGGCTAGGGCTACTGTGTGTGTTTTTAACGGATTTGTACTGATGTCAGAGAGGAAGGGAGAGAGAGAGGAGAGAGAGACATCCATGATGAGAGAATCATGGATCGGCTGCCTCCTGCACGCCCCACGCTGGGGATGGAGCCCGCAACCCGGGCCTGTGCCCTGACCGGGAATCGAACCCTGACCTCCTGGACCATAGGTCGACGCTCAACCACTGAGCCACGCCGGCCGGGCTCAGACCAGCCGAAGGCAGAGAGTGACCAAGTCCAGGTCGCAGGGGGCAGTTGGCTCCGAGCCTGAGGCCGGGAGGGGGGAGTGGGGGACTTTCTGGACGTGGACCTTGACTCATCAGGACAGGGGTGGGGACAAGCGCCTCCGGGCTCCGGACCGCCCTCCACCGGCTCCAACCCGAAACCACCCACGTCTGACCCTCAGGTCGGCCCGAAGGTGAGGGCGCAGTGTGAGCCCCGCGGCTGGGAGGCCAGCGGCTCCGCGACGAGAGGGGATAGGCCTGGACGGGGATGCTGACCCACAAAGACGCGCCCGGCCGCAGGGACACGGTGACAACGGGTGACACACTAACTTGATTTTATCGCGCCTGCTCAAGTCACCGGGCTCCCGAGGGACCCGCCGGCGTTGGCCGACAGTGACGGGCAGCACGAGGGTGACCCCCACCGGCCCCGCATCCGAGAACTGTTCTCAAGACCTTTTCCGGGTGCCAGTCCCCTACATTGGCCCTGGGAGCCGAGTCCCATGTCAACAGCTACCTGGGCACCACCCCCCGCCCCCCCCAATCCTCACCCAGGTTAAAAACAGACGAAATGGCCCTGACCGGTTTGGCTCAGTGGATAGAGCGTCGGCCTGCGGACTGGGGGTCCCGGGTTCGATTCTGGTCAAGGGCATGTACCTTGGTTGCGGGCAGATCCCCAGTAGGGGGTGTGCAGGAGGCAGCTGATCCATGATTCTCTCTCGTCATGGATGTTTCTATCTCTCTCTCCCTCTCCCTTCCTCTCTGAAATCAATAAACATGTATTTCAAAGAATAAAAATAAAAAATAATTAAAATGAAAAGCTCCGCGCATAGCTCTGCCCTACAGAGCACCCCCACCGATGCCCTCAGGGCTGAGCCTCCACACCCCAGGCCCCCACAGAGGGGAGCTAACTCATCGCCAGCCCTCCCCCCTCCTCGGCTCTCCCCGGCCGGGCCTTGTGGGGCCACGGCCTCCGAGTCCTGCGAAGGCTGCAAGAAAAATACACAAGGATGCAGGTCCTGCTCAGAGGGCGGGCAAATCTAGACCTCATCCCACTCACCTTGGTCTCCCAGGAGAAAGGGGCCGAGTGCTCGTCCTGCCAAGTTATGTCCTGAAACGAAAATTCAAGAAGAAATCTGAAACTCGGACCCGAAGGGCCCCGGCAAACATCTGCCAAGGCCGCGGGGGAACCGACCTCTGGGAATCATCCCAGGTCCTGGCTGGGAGCGGGCCTGGCGTCGGGGCGCCCTGGGCAGAATGTGCTGACCCGGCCTGGCTGTCCCCTACCT